TCAAAATCGTCGTCCGTGGGATTCGAACTCTAGACCTGCCGCTTGGGGGTGTAGCAACCCCACCACTTCACTAGGTCACCACACCCTTTGAAACTCATATATTATAAAATATAAATATTAAATTTATATAATATTAGTCATATAATTTGTTGCATGTATTTTTTTTTTTTTTTTTTTTTTTTTTTAGTGTTAAAGTAACCTCTTTAGTCTGGAAACTTTTTATTAATAATTATTTGTTATTATAGTTACAATGAAAATACAACTAGCCACACATGCACCTTTTGAGTGCCTATTTAAATAGTCCACCTGCAGGTTCTATACTAAATATCATATCTATAACCCAACTAGGGAGTTACTTATTTAAACCTTCTGATCCTAACTATTTTTAAACATATTATACTAACCAGGGAACTACTAATAGCCCATTCTACTAAATTGCGCACTCTGCTTTAGGACTTTTTGTGGCTTATCCTGGGTTTGTACCAACTAATTACTGGCTTGCATTCCTTTATTAAGTGAATACACAGGCTATTCTTGAGATAAACCTACCAGAGCTTTCTTTATTCTATTTAGGCCAACCTGGTTTTGTGCAGTTGCCAAGGCTCCTACTCACAGTTGAAATTAGTCTTATTTAACTGCCTTTGCCTTTATAAGGTTCACTTCTAATCCTAGTACTCATATTTAAACTTTTTCTTTTTCTGCTATTTTTTTATTAGTCTATCTCTTACTTCTAACTAGTGATCCAAAAGATTTAATCTTGGCTTGGCATTAGATACCAGTACCTTTGTCTTGTCTTAGTATATGATTTCCTAGCATATGTCCTTTTTCTCCAATTTGGTAGGCTGGTTTTTTGAACATGCTCAGCATTTTTCTATCAGTTACCTGACTTATATAACCTTTAGTTTTGGTGAATAGGGCCCCTACCACTAGTTTTCCATACTAGTTGGCCAGGGTTAGTATACTTCATAATACCTTATAGATTTCTAGCTTTCTAAATTGGCAGTTGGGTTGGTAAATCCTCTCATTAAAAGATCTTGTTGTTATTTAGTTTTCTATTCTCAGTTCTAACTTCCAAATTCAAGTCTTTTCTGTAGTCCTGTCAAAAATCGTAGCTACTCCTTACTTGGGTCTTCCTAAATAGGTTTTTATTATTTTAGTTTCTTGAACTTTTAGTTCTTGGTTAAATTTCATGCTTTGCTAATTTTATATTAAATTTTAAATTCAGGCTGAACTAGAGCTTCTATTGGGTGTTTCGCGTCTCCTCTGGTGCTTCAGAATAGAAAATGCATCACCGTTAGGTAGAGACGGTAAACCAGTACCGATTGACATGGAAAAAATACGGTTTGGTATGACTAGTTGGCCCGAAATATTTCATGTTAAATTTGTAAAAAGGCATGATAATGTTGAAAAAGTTTTGTTCAAATCAAATAGTATATAACTTTGGTTTTCTTGTAATATGACTGAAGCAAACCAGTTTGAAGGGAGTGCAATATTTAAAACACCTTTTACCATTTTATATTTCATATTATACTGTATAATGCAGTAGTTAGCATTACTTGTTGATATTTTATAATTATATTTCATATGTATTGTAATCAGAATTATATAGAATATTGAATATTGTTACAGGGTGACGATAATTTATACAATAAAAAATAAAAATATGCGATAAGGCAACTCGTCAAAGGCATGATAGGTGATAAGTTTAAAGAGAATGTTGCGTCCTTTAAGTATCACATGGCCTTCTATTTTTTTTACGATTGAATAGATGCTTTATTCTATTCAATTAACCCTAGCCTAACAAATAGTGTATTGCTCTCGCAAAATAAGTAAAATCGGTATTATTGAGGATCATCCGACTGCCCTAACGCTAAATAAACTTTTGGTTGGCACATAGATGTAACCACCAATCAGAAAGAGGTGGCTGTGTCAGTTCTTATGATTCAATCATGCGAATATAAACCGCATTGTCGACACGACGGGAATCTGTTTTGTTATGTACGTACGTAGTACGTACAGTAGCCCCCAAAAGTACGATTTACTTATTTTTGCGGGTAACACAAACCAAAAAAGGAAATCGAATTTTGTAAATAAACCAAGTGCGTAAAAATAGAAGTTTAGGATTAGAACGTTAGGGTTGTGAGCTTTAGCAATAAGTTAGAGTTTCTTATATGTAAAATTTCATTCCCGTTATTATTTATTAATTTACCAAGGTCGATTTAAACACTAGATTCTGAGTATTTTCGCTTTCTTTTCTTTTTTTCTTCTTTTGCACGTGTTCGGATTCTATGTCGGACAGATCCGGAAAACCCAAAATTTCTGTTCTCTGATTGGCCATTTCCTTTTTAGAAGTTTGTATTACTCGCACAAATAAGTGGCTGCGGTATACCAGGTATACCACCGGGATATCTATTTTAAGCAAAAGATCAACCTATCCATTAATTTGATACTGCGCCGCTTCGAACACCATCTCACACGTGTTACCGGGGCACATTTCTGCGGCTCACAGTACGCCGGGGTAATTCGCTTTAGACGACACCATTACACTCAAAAGAAAAAAAAAAAATCCAATATCACCCTTTAAATTTTTATCAATTTCCGATATTAAAATTAAAGAATCATAAATAGCTTATGTTAAATCACTTGAAAGCATAGAATTTTGTGTTGTGTTAAAAAGTTTTTTTTTTATTTTCTTCCTCATATCGCCGTTTTGAATTGCTCTTGCTCGTTCCAAATACTCTTACAGTACATCTAATTTTTCCTTTACAAAATTTTCAAACTTTTATATGATCGGCAACCTGTGCAATATTAATGTCTCACTTGACATTGTGTAGTAACCAAATAGAGTTAGAACGAAAAACAAAAAAATTCATTTTCATTAAAATCGATTATTAATAAGAAATTATCGTCATCTTTGTAACTGTATTTTAAATTAAAGCTCAGTTACGTAACTTTTTTTAGGTTCATCTCATAGCTAAGCAGTTTTTTTAATTTGTGACTTACCCATACAGATACCGAACACATACAAATACGTGAAATTGATATCCAATCAAATAAATGTAAATCATCTGACAAAATCACATGAAAAAGCAATCCAATCAAATACACGGATTCGGATACACCATTTCACTTGCCATTAACATACTCTACGTACTTTGTACTGGACAGGATATGAAAACTGATTATATAAATTTATATGCCTTATAATAGGTATTATTATTATCCCGGGACACTTGAAAAAATCGTTGATGATTGAATCGATGTTGGCCGGTGTTCATAATTTATTTATTCTGACTCAATAATTTATCAATTATGTTATCTGAAATTTTACAAGTGCCCCAGGAATCACTGTAATGCAAAAAAATAAATTGAAAATTGCACTAAAACTACACTATAATTAATACGTAACCAGCATAATGTAGCTAAATGTCATTCTAACCTTTAATTGATTCAAACGCCTAATTTTATGCAACTTAGTCGGGCCGAAAAAAATGTCGGTCCCGTGATTGTCATGAGCGGAACTTGAATCTATAAACATCGAAAATATGATAAATAGTATCGATATCAATTAACGCTAATTTTTGATGTTTATAGATTCAAGTTCCGATTATGACAATCACTTTTTTTCGGCCCGCATAAATGTACACATGATAGATCTACATAATCACGGAATGTCTCGTACCATTAGAACTTTTTTAATGTTTCAAACTTGGGTTCTCTAAATATTACACCCAAAACCTCTTTAAAGTAAAATCATCTTTTAAATAATCAATTTAGTTGCTCTTTTTGAATTAGTACGATGATCAAAAATTTTTTTTTTGTATTGATATTGATAATATTGATAATTGTAGACTATCACTATTATTGATTACAGGATTTAAAATAATGACATAATTGTTAAAATGCATCATACAGATGCTGTATTTAATAATTACTGGAATTCATAAAATTTATTTATAAAATTAGAAATTTTCGTACTAATTCAAAAAAAGCAATATGATAATAGAATTTAATCATATGGTATAAAAATAATTCGAAAAAATGGGATTATCAATGTTAAAATTACGATCAACAAGTTATAAATGATCGCTAAAGCTAAGCGTAAAAGTAGAGGAGTGGCAGAGGTAAAGGTCTCGATTTTTTATTATATATTATTAATGGCGCAGTATTTAATGATTTACTGTATCCAAAATTGAATTTAATTGGTTGTATGATGTGGCAAAGCTTTGAGGCTTATTTGTTATTCACATAACATAACGCTGTATCTGATATATACGGTATCAGGTATCGGCATATCTATATTTATTATCTGTTATGTATGTACATAAGCACGTATGTACGTACGTACGTACATATACATCGATATGTACGTACCAGATACATATTTGACATTCGTATAGAATCGTAAGTTCTTTCAAAATCAAAACCACATTGTCACATCTGACGCATCTTAATTTAACTGCGCATAATTTCTTTCACGGTTATTCGAGCATGCACTCAACTTGTCAGTAAAGAAGAACAAAAATGATATAAGGATGCTTTATTTCTTTAAATATTTGCTTAAAAATGATTATTTACTTTTTTGTGTCTGACCTACATTGTACAATTTTTTTTAGATATCATATATACATGCTAAATATATACATTGTGTATACACTATATCGATATTGATATTTCACTAAAAATTTTAAAATTATTTATTCTACTTATTTATATTAATTTATCACTCTGTGTTTGTACAGTATAAATAGAGTGCACCCTCCTTTTATTAAATTTAACTTTATTAATTTGCATAATCGAAGAGTGGCCAGATTCTATTTTTTTTTAAAAAAAAAATAAAATAAAGATAATACTGTAGTAATATCATTATCATTACTTTGACACTTTTGTTTTTCCTTTTATATTAATTTATCCATGAAGAAATTAAAGCGTCTCTTTTCACCAAATTCTACTTCACCGGCCACTGACTCTGATAATAAAGGTCAAAACCATGGTTTATTTCGCAGAGCAACTTCAGGCTCTAATATAATAGATTCAAGAAGAAGAAAAAAACCATGGAGATCTCATTCTTTAAATCCACCATCAAAAAATGATTCAAGAGGCGCTGGCGCTTTAAATTTGGAAACAAATATTTATAACGATAATAATAATAATGATCTACAATTTACTCAATCTCCGATTGAGAATTTTCTAAATGTTCCTGGATTAGATAATTCTTCATTACCTGACGAAATTAATTCTTCAAAAGATAATCCTCCACTATCTCCAACTACTCGTCATAATGAAGCTGATGAATTTATTCAAAAAGCTATACAATATCATGAAGCTAATGAATTAGAAAAAGCTACTTATTATTTTAAATTGGCTGCTGAAAAAGATAGTCCTCTGGGTTTATTTTTATACGGTATTGCCCTAAGACATGGTTGGGTATGTTTTTATTTATTCATAGTCGTTTTTTTTTTGGTTTTCCTTTTTTGTTAATCCATTGTTTTTTTTCTTTATTAATACTTTTTTTTTTTTTTTTACAAAATAGGGTTGTAATCCAAATCCAAAACTTGCCGTACGGTACTTACAAAAAGCCGCTGAATCTGCTGTTACAGATCTTCACACTTCAATGTCAGCGAATCCAAGTTTCGCTCGACATGAATTAGTATTAGCAATTTACGAGCTTGGTAATTAATCAATATTATTTCACTTTATTTTTTTATCTTTCGTTTATGATATATATATATGTATATTAACAAATAATTCATTTATTATTGATTTTAGGTATATGTTTCCGTCATGGTTGGGGTGTACCAAAAAATAAACAAACTGCTGTTTATTATTTTGAAATCTCTGCAAACCTTGGTGATCCTGATGCACAAAATGAACTAGGATCTTGCCTTGAACGTGGCGAAGGTGTCAAAAAGGTATATATATATATATATATATATTTAATTACAAGATAATTGTATTCTTTTACCAATTTTTATATATCTGACAATTCTTGCTATATAATAGGATATGAAAAAAGCTGCTAAATATTATCGAATGGCTGCCGCACAAGGTGCAGGAATACTGGGAAATTCATGGATATATAAGAAGAAATATGATGAAGATGAGTAACCATAACTTAATCAAATAAGCTTGGAGTATCATACAAAAAAAAAAAAACAAAAAAAAAAATCTCATCACAACTTTTACTCGTTTTATTTATTACATGATAAATTCAATTTATTTAAAGATTATTGTAAATAGTTTATATAGTGTTATTCATTTTTTCTCTATTTTGTACGGTACTATTCTTTGTAGTATAAAAGGAGGATTTGAAAATATTATCAATGCTTTGTAATATTATTTTATTCATTATACAAGTACTAGTATCAAAAATTTTGTTATTAGTATCAAATCATTATAATACATTTTTATATACATCTCAATAATATATATATACAATGAAATAAAATAAAACGAACCAACATATGCAATTCACTTTAAAAAATTTATAAATTGATTATATACGTATAATTAATGATCTAGAATTTTTTTAAAAAATTCATATTTATAAAAAATTTATTTCAATATGATTGTAATTAACTTGATTTATAGTTAGACTATAAATTTCCAAATCTTTTTTGATACCTAATAATAAATTCAAATGATATTAATATTTTAATTTAAAAAATTTTAATCTTTTTAAAATATATTTTCGTTTCTTTTTAAGGTTAAGCTAAATTATAGTGCCAAAATTGTTAATAAAAAAGTATAGATATTGTAAATTGGCATAAATTGTTCATAAACATGAGTATTTCTTTATTAAAAAAACACGCCAATCTTATTTATTGGTGTTTAAAAATACTACGTATATATGTATTAAAATAAATATGCTTAATGAACATGCCCGGGCGCGAAAAGGCGCGTCTCTAGTCCGAAACTTGTCTATTTCAAAAAATACATATGTACAATATGATCGTTATACGTATTAAAGTAACATTTCGAATAACAATATCATTATTATATTGATATATATACAATACAATACTTACTCGAAAAAGTTCAATACATTAGTAATTATACGGTACCTAAAGATTCGAAAAATTATTGGAGGTTCCCAATAAACATTAATAAAGACCACTAACTAAATGTAATATCCTGAAACAAATTATATGTATTAAAAATTTATATATATTTTTTTTTCGAAATTCTAAAACTTTCACTTTCTATAATTAGATAACTTTATATCGTGTATTTGTTACATAGGCTTCTATTTAGTTCCAAATTAAGTCATGCATAAAAATTTGTTATCTACGTAGAACTGAAAAAAATTTAAAACCAAGGTTTGTTGAAACATGCATTGCATTACAGTATTGCAGCATTGTATATTAATACAACTAATACTGGTTAATACTGGTTAATACTAAACCCCCTCTTTGGTGGTTTTTTATGTTATCACTTTATTTGGGAATTAAAATCTATCCGAAAGTTTGATGTTAATCTAGATAATACTGTACGCAGCCCCTTATTGTTATCACTATTTAGGAATTAAATCCATCGGTAAATTTTGTACTGTATAATAAATAACTTAGTACGTAGTATAAGTGCAAAAATACTATTCCTGATGGAATCAACCGTACTGATCTTAATGGGTTAAAAAGTTCCTTATACTGTAGGGTTCTAAAAATGAACCCGATCCTAATGCTTTTCATATGTTATACTTCGCTATAGTTGTGTAGTTTTTCAGAGAGAACCCTATCAGGAACGGTACATAAATTGATTTATTTTCCTACTTTGTGCCTAATGATGTGAGCGCAATACCGTAATTCATTATAATTACCACTAACAGTACTGGTGATCTATCAGGAACGGTATTATTTCAGTATAGGTAGCATACATAGAACCCAAGACGGGTTCATTGAACCCAGGACAGGTTCATTCGAGTTTTTGAAGTCACGGGATTTTTATTATCAAATCATGCTCTAAACCAGTTTGAAATAGATCAGGTGAGCAATATTGATTTAATTAATGACGAACAAAAAATTACTGTACTATCATTATGACGAACAAAAATCTTTTTTTTTTTTTAATTAATTAATACAAATGAACCTACCTCTTCAAGTTCGATATCTCAAAATGTACTTGAAAAACTATTAAAGTAACAAACAATCCTCCAAAGCAATTAAAAAAGAACCTTTTCTGAAACAAACTTACTAAAGTTGGTAATAAATAATATTAAAAACTTTGCAATAAACCTTACTTAATAGAAACAAGTTTTTCTAATATTAAATCTTATTTTAAAAATAACTATTTAGAGAGGTAAAATAAAATTATAGTAGCTGGTAAAGCAAATATTGAACCTTATAAAATTCTACAAATTATCTAATATTTTTTAAAATAGATTATCACAAATTAACAGACTTTTTTTCTTGTTGAAAATAATAATTTTACAATTTATTAATGAAATAACATTATGGTATTTTCTTCTATTAAGACAATATATTTTATAAAGTATTTAAATTTATACAATAATAAAAAAATTGAACTTTATTATTTTTTTAACTCAAGTTACTAAAAATTTGATAATGGATACTTGAACTCTTATACCATTCTTGGATTTCTTGCTATTACTCTTTATTGAATTGGCAAAATCTAAAATATAAAATAAATTCTATTAAATATAATATTACTTTATAAATAATATACTAGTAGCTATATAAACAAAAAATTTTAAAAGAAATTTTAATTTATAATATTAGCTTTTGAATTGATTTTGCAATCACCAATAATATTTGATTTAATATAAAAAGAATAAAAATATATATATACAAAAGGAAAAACTTAAAAAAAAAACTTAAAGAAAATAAATTTAAAATATAGTAACTCAAGATATAGAATATAGAATATAGAAAATAAAAGAAAACTATATAATAAAAATAGAATAAAAACTCAAGAAAAACTTAATAAAAATATTATAAAAACTTAATAAAAAGAATATACATATAGTAGTATATATATGGTCAAAAATATAATATTTATTTATTAAGAAAAAGTTAGAAAAATACAAGTTAGAATCTATTTTGTCTTGAGTAAAAGGCAGAGTTTATATAGCTTTTAAAATATTAAGAAAATTTCTTCTAAAATATGAGATTTGTTAACCAAATTTGTGTTTCAATCAAATTTGTATATTTTGATCTATCATCAATAACTCACGTTTTAGCAATTCAATCTTGGTGATTTTTATGCCAATCAAATTCTCTCCATGAGAGAATTTGTATAGTATTAAAGGCATCAAGATCAAATCATTAAAACGTAAGTTATTGATGATAGATTAAAATATACAAATTTGATTAAAACACAAATTTGGTCGACAAATTCTATAATAGTACAAAGTAATAAAAAAATAAAAAGATAAGAATAAAAAAATAGTAATAAAGAAATAAAGATAAAAAAGTAAAAATAAAAAGATAGTAATAGAGTATGGCAGCTTAGTGAAGTGGTTTAGTTGTTACTCCACCAAGTAACAGACTCAAAGTTTAAATCTCACAAATAATATTTTAGAAAAATAAGTTTATATTATCCCTTAATATATAGACCAACACAGACAAATTTGCCTGCATTTTTGCACTTTTTTAGCTCTAATTTACTTTTTTAAAATGCCAAAATATTTAAATAAAACTTTGCACAATTATATTT